ACTTCAGTCAATCCTAGAAAACTTCAATTAGAATTTTTAATCAAATAAAACTCATTTTAGTGATTGACTAATTAAGGGCTTCGAAATCACAGCTTATCAGAAAAATCGAATTTTCAAGTAAAATCAGTGGTCGGTTTTTACAGAGACAGCCTCTTAAAAGCTTCATTTTTTGTCCCTCACAGTAATTGCTAACATTAGTCAAGAAAAACAGCTTGAAACTTAGCTGTAAAGAGTTGCTCGCAAATATGGGCGAAATTTAAGGACACTCTTCAGTTAGTCTGACGGAGCAAAACACATGGTTCATTTGACGTTTTGCCGAGCGTTGTCAAGTGACAGGTTATGTGTTAAAACTCCAAAAACTTGATAAACATTCAAGAATTTTGCATAAATTGAAGTTTCCTATGAAATAGTTGACTTCTTCGTGCTTGATATGTGCTCAAAACCCATATTTTACTCAAAAGTTACTCAGAAAGGCAAAACTTGCTTGAGGTTGCTAGAACCGCAAAAAGTTGCTCCAAACGCCAAAAGTTGCTCAAAAGTTGCCCAGCACAATCGGGACAGGCCTAGTCTGATTTTACCATCTCCCGTGTAGCCCTGAAAGCATAACATTTTAGTCAGGAAGTCAGTACCCACGCTGTTAGTAAACCTTGTTCTTTTATTAAAAGCAACACCTGTCCGTTGTGTACTGTACGAGAAGCTAATGCAACTCCAATAGATGCGGAATACTTTAATCACAAATCCAAACACATAAACGTCCACGAAGCATTTAACTACTCTTATCAAGCGAAAAAGGGATGCGTGATATGCGTCCCCCACTCGTCTCTACTTGTTATTGTATACCGCCCTTCTGCGTTCGAGTTCGCCGATAAACACTCGTCAGGCTTCCAGCTGTCTATCTTGACTCCCCGCTTGACCCTCTTATGAACTAAGAGTTACAAGAATCGTGCTCGTCTGCATTTTCAATGGCGAACTGTCAATTGCAGGCCTCCTTTTTTGACCACGCGGTCAGTTCCTTCGATCCAGTGACACGGGTTCTTCATCCAATTGCAAAGAACGTTGAGCCACTTAATACCAATATACACAGAACGGAATTCGGATAATTACACGAAGATAGTTAAGTGCCGAAATACATAACCTGGGAATTTCCTACTGAGTGCCGGTTACTGGTAAGGAAAAGGGGACAAGAAAAGCAGCAATTCTTTTCCTTTTGCTTGGATCCAACCGGCTCCGCGTTAGATCCTCATTGTTCTATTGTCTAAGCTGCAATGCCAAACGGGAGGAAGTCGAACGCAAAAATTGGTCAGGAACGAGAAGCCAAGAAACCAGGAGAGTTATAGATCAGCACACCAACCGGAAGCCAAAGAAAATATTAAAGGTCTCATATTTTGTGTAACTCTGCTGAAGTTACAATGACGCACCGCCCTTTTGTTGCCATTGTTACTAAACCCTGCGAAGCTTAGTGACGTATTGGTACTTTCAACTCGTCTTTTCCTCTGACGTTTACTCGTTTTCAGCCAAATGGTTTACTTTTTACTTGAAATCGTGGAAGACAAATTTTGCACAACGGATTCTTTCAACAAAAGCATGAAATGCTAATTTTGAAAACATCTGACTCGATATAATTATTTGAACACCTTGTTATTTAAAATAGCCAATCTTTGATACTGAGTGTAAAAGTCTTTTTGCTGCCAGATTTTATTGGCTCAAAATCAATTTTTTTCCCGTAACTATTGTAGTAACAAATTAAGGTAATACTGACAGTCTGTGTGCTAGCTTATTTCTAAATTTGTCGACTTGTGTCACAGCCAACTGTCATCACCCGACAGTTACTTTAGGAAATTCCTTCTACGGATAGTGTTTGTCCGTGACGACCTAACGAGAAAAGGCTCTTTCAGCATCACATTTGTTCCTGATAGTTGGTGAATGTTTCCCGGCCGTCGAAATAGTATCATGTATAGATGAAATTCAATCTGCTCTGTTTAAAGTGGTTGGAAAAGAGACACTCGACCAAGATACTTGATAGTGTTGTTCAAGAGATCATAACAGTCTTGTTTTGTTACGTTATTTAATTTATTTTTGTTATCCATTCTCTAAAATACTATTTTATGACCACATAAACATTTCTTTGTTACAGACCAGTTTTTCATGGGGTGACGGAATTTCTTATTGAAATTTTCAGCAAAAATGCAATTAATCAGAGAAAAAATATATATGTTAGAATACTGGCTAAGCAAGTTTTAATAAATCCAAATACGAATTGTGTTCTGAAATGTTCTACAGGTTGCATTTTTCAATTGATTTATAAATACTATGTAATTAATCAGTTTCCTACTTTATACATAAGACGATCTTTGGTTGCGTCTTGAGTCGTCATAAGTCAGCAACACTGGTACAGTTCTAAAATACGCCAAAAAAGCTGCAAAATCTAAGTCGAAATGGTTACATTGAAAGGGCCGGCCGGGCCAGCTTTACTCATTTGCTTAACAATAAAAGCACACGCTATCAGATTACAGGAAGCCAATAGTAAGTGAGACAGGCTCGAATTATACATGCACAGATAATCCTCGTTAGATTTTATTACGAAACAAAGAAAAAACACCCGCCCGGCCAGCAATGCCTTCATTCAAGTAGGCCTAATGTAAGCCGTTTTTTCTGGAGTCCAATGAAATTCACTCTCAATCAAGAATACATCTTCACCTGGTATGAAAGAAACACTCCTCGCGAGACCACAATGCACGTGTGCTGAGAGCACTCTTCGCGCAAAATGTGATGAGATATTCCCCCAAGGTACGTAAATCTTATCTGCAATCTTTCCGTAGTTCTTGGCTTAAGGCAAAGTCGAGAAACTTAGACTGGAATTTTTTGGTTCACTGAAAATCGACATATTTTTTCAAAGAAAACTTATGAGAATCCATAGAAAGTTGTTCAAATTACGTAAACGAATTTGAGTTAGCCTGCGCCTGTAACCAGAGCTGTGAATGACTGTAGCAGGGTGACAAAGATCTGGGGCCAACCACCTCCGGTTCAGGTGGGTAGTTATCCAAACGTTGGGTCGACCATGAATAACTGAATAGAGCGAGTTGCCGGGGGGAAATGATCAAGCAAATGTATTCTTCCCATGTAATTGCTAAGAAGGTATCGTTCATGTGAGGGAACTACGAAAGGTATAATCCGATGTTGTCCGTATTCCTGTCTGAGATGTAATTATTCCTTTCTCCAGACCAAAAAGGGGGCGATTATTCTAAAGGGCGATAATTTTCTAGTTTCCCCTACTGTGGGGCTGGGTTAAACTACAGCAAAATTTTCGGCAACTGGACTATCAACTGGACAAGGCCCGTAGGGAACAACGAAATAATGGTTATATTCATGACACCGAAACCCAAACAAGAACACAAACTGACAGCAACATTGCAGACACTCTCATGTTATGTCGAAGCCCAGTTTTGGCTTACAAAGATGTCTGCTTGATAATAAATTGATGGCGAGTTGTGAAATTTGGGCGGGGGAGGCGGAGGCCGAGGAGGGAAAGGTGGGAAAAGAGCGATTACCGGTATTTCAAATGTTGGCTCAAAATGTTCTGGTTCGGCGGGTTATTAGTCTTCAAGGTGGGCAATTATTCGAGAAAATACGGTTTGTACCCTTTCTAATGAAAAGGGGTTGAAGGTCGCAATTAACAATTACCAGCTTCCTTTCCGCTTCAGTCATTATCTGGCTGGTAGGGCGGACATTGTGCACAGCAGATGTGAGGGGCCGAGTGTATTTATTTTTAACATGAACTCCGATCCGCAGACGTGCAATAAGTCGAAATTTCGAAGATGGCGGGTCATCCTTGAGGTCAAGTATCCCTCAAAACCGCCCAACTTTGTTTTGTTTAGCGTTCCTTTTCTGCCTGAAGTAGCTTTTTATAATGAACTTATTTGTTTTTAAGGCTAATTTCCCATTAAATAAACTTACAAAGGTCCCTTATTTGAGACCCACGCTTTCGAACCGCAACCAGCTAAGACTGAAAACTATTTTGAGACAAACTATTTTAATCCTCGGGTGTGATATCAAGCAACAACAATGTAAATTCTCCTTACCTGTCTCAATGCGCCTTGTTAGTACCAGTTGGGAGAATTTGGCTCAGATCATAGTGATCAGATTGTTAATTCTCACAAAATAACTTGAAGTGGACACCTGTAGCTTAATTTGTATTGATTATGAGAAGAGAAGTCGGTGGCTTGACAGATTTGAATGGTTAAAAATAAAACAAACAAGACTGTGTGCAGATGCTCTGACAGATTAACATTATTCGTCGTTTTATTTAATTGTTTTTTTAGCGCACGTTAATCATGATTAATTTACTTTCGCTCTTTCTGAGGGAAAACTTCACTCGGTACGTAAGAACATAGCAGTGATCCTCATTTTCCAGCCAATTTTAGGCAGATATCAGCATTCTCTTTTAATCATTTAACAACATAAGCAGAAAACCCGCCGTGTTTTGATCATTTTTATGAAGGTAAATATTAAAAGTAAACACAATTTTCCAAATGTGTATTTTCTCGACCTTCCAAAAGACTTTAGAATAATTCCAGCGCGCCTTTTAAATTGCTCATGTTATTCAATATTTGTGATTAAGGTGGTGATTAATAGTCGTTCGCTTATGACATTAATAACTTAGGGAAATAACTCATATAATTCCATTATTTCGAATATTCTGTCAGTAAACGAACAATTTGTCGTTTACTCTAATAAAGTGGTTGCAAAATGGAAATTGTTCTGTAAACGAGGAAAAAGTTAAAAGTTCCTGCAATATTTTCCCTCGACCCGAATCGAAAGTATTATTAGCGGTAACAGACCGGAAATCCTCTTCTTAAAAAGTCATAACAAAGAGCGTTTGGCAACGCGGGATTTCATAATCCGCGAAGCAGCTTTCATCTCCAGCAGATCACCTGCCCGTCACTTGTGAACGGTCCAATCATGGCCAAGCGGCATCGTCTTTGCTCCGAGTAAGAGACTGGCAGGCTTCCCAAAGCGTCTGAGAAAAAAAAAGGAACACGCAAATATTTCCTGTAAGCTCGCGGGCGGTAAAAAACTCAAATGAAACCCGCGAGCATTGCTGAGTAAGAACCTGTTCGGGAGCGGTGTAAATTATTCGTCGATTTAAGCCACTGGCAGATGTACTTCAGAGAAATGATTTAGCGACCAGCAGGCAAATGCTAGTGGGAACTTGCAAAAGGCTATTGTGCTGTCCTCTGATGATAAAATTAAGATAACAGCTCTTTCAAATAGAATGAAGTGTTTTCCTTTAATACGCGGTTCTTCAATCTAGCCAATGTTTGTTTATACACGACACAGGGCCAAAGATAGCGATCAACCTTTTGAACCCTTGTTTTCTAAGCCTTTTACCATGCACCCCGCGTGCCGAATTTCTTCTTCAACTCTTTCTCAATAAATTCGTAATTGGGCAACGAAACAACTCCATTTGCCGTTTTCGTGGCTTGCGGCAGAATACGACGGCGCAAGAGTGTGAAATTTGGGGGGAATCTAGCGACTTCTAATTTTTTCACCAAGGGTGTAAGACAATTGATTTTGTATACAGGCTGGTATTTGTTCTATTGCCGAAGGGCAAAGTAGGCGGCACTCAAAAGACTTAACAATTTTTTCCCTCTGGCAAACCTCACATGAAGTCATCTTGACGAATAACAACAAAGAGAATATCTTTAAGGACTTTGAAAGAATGATTTTTAAAGGGTGATTTGCCTCAGTTTAGCGAGCGGGAAACGAAGACTCGCGAGTCAAAGGAAAACATACATCATCACCTCCCAATTTTAGTTTGTTTGATGCTTCAATTGTCTCCGAGTGTCACCAATTCACAGTAATTAAACTAATTAGGCCTGCTGCTCTTATCGCAGTGCCAGAAATTGACCAACACAAGCCTTGATTGGTTTACGTTAATTGCCTAAGCAAACTTCAAAGGGAAGAGCCGCCGGCGTCCATCCCATAAGACGTTGCAGGCCCCACCAGCTTCCCTCGTGAAAATTGATGAGGGAGTTTCTAGCTGGTTGCGTTCGGTTGGTGTTCTCCTATTACAGTTTAGCATTTTCCACTTTCCTCTTACAGGTTGAACGCACTGTATATAGCATCTTCGGTACGGAAATGTGAGCTTTACCTGGGTGGAGGTTTGATTCGTCCGATTGTGAGCTCCGTGCGTGATTGTGACGTGAATCTCACAAGCCTTCTGTGTTGCAGGGTACGAGCTCCATAGATCGACGCCATGTAAGACGAGTCCCCCAGTTGAAGCGCGAGTTTTGATTGCAAGCGGTGAATGGTGAATTAAGGTAAGTTGAGCACTTCATTCGCATCGTAACTGTATAAAAGGATCGTCGGTGCTATTTATTTTTGTGCGGTGTCGCTGGAGCCGTGACTTAAGAAACACGTGTGAATAAGGCCGCAATGACACCTTCGAGGACAACGGGCGCGTTTATCCTGGGAATGGGACAAGTTTTTTCCCACTCTTCTCGTGCGGTTTTTTCTGCATTTATTTCGCTGGGAAGTAGAGCTTTGAAAGTTTCGGCTGTCTGTGTTATTGGAGCTATGCTTATGTGGGAGGTATTATTAGAGGAAGCCCCTGAATGCTTGAGTGAGTTTTCGATTGAAATTGCCGTTTTGCATCGCAAGTGCTTGGGGCAAACGCGCGCTCTCATCGAAATAAACACAAATTTACTGGGTTTTTTGACGGGAGCGGTTATTTCCATTTCTTCAATATTCCGTAAGATTGCAGTGCGGTGGCCTTTCACGTGTTGTTGTCTTTTCTTCAGAGGAGTTTTCGGTGTTTAATCGGAGCATTTCCAGTTAATTTCCTTTGTGGCTCGATCGAAGTGCAGCATGAACTTGCACGCTTGATAACTAATGGATCATTCATTTTACATACAACAACAATACACGTGTTTCATAATCATTATGATTACATTTTACTATTTACGTGCTCTTGTCTTTGAATTCTTTTGTTTAATGTGCCAACTGGACATCGCGAGTTCCTTCGGAAAAAAGAACACTGAATGATTCGAAACGATCGCCCGCAATAATCGCGCGCTCCAGGCTTTCATTTTGATGGTTGTGAATGTCTAGCGCTATTGACAACGGTGGTGGTTTTATGTAATTTTCTCCGATGTGTAATCAGATGTGTGTTTCCTTGGTTTGACGTATTATAGCGATTGTAAAGGCGTAAAATTAGAGAATTTCGACATGTCGTTTTCATTTGCGAAAGTCGCTGGCACGAATGTTATTCCCCTGTAATGAACAAGATAGGTCTGTAGATATAAAACCACTAAATTGCTCTTATCAAAGGCTATCATAGCAACAAAAGTTTTAACCTGTTTAGGGACAATCTTCGAAAATAATTCAAACAGTGTTGTTAAGCTTCGCATCCTACAGAAGATTAACATAATTGCCGTGAAATTATGAGAGGACTTCTCCACACAAAAAGCCGAACAATTACGCACGCCGCTCGCATTGTTCTTAATTGAAATGTTTATGTGAAAAATTTCTACGAGAAAACAAAAAAAAACTAAAAAGGCAATTGATAAGCGTTTAGTATTTTAGCACTGCGTGGAATTATTTCACTTTCACGCTATTGTCGGAAGTTTGGTCCCGGTGCGGGCGTAAAATAGGTTCTCCCTTCGCAACACAAGTAAGGTTATTTTCATCCTGTGGTGTTTATTTTATGTATTACAGTTCCAGAGGTAAATCCCCGACTAGTTTTGGTAGTCGTTAAACTCTTTATTGCAACATTTTAATCCAACTCATTGCCTTTGCAATTCTCTTGTTTCGCTATGCCGATTTGCGGATCGAAAGGGATCTTTTTGAAAATATTACCAACGACCGATCGATGACTTTTTTGATGTCGCGTTTTCTAAGATTATTTTGTCAGTACCGAATCTTTGTAGAAAGAGTTACAATTGGACGTTATTTATTTCTTTTGCAGATAAGTTCCGTAGTGTATGATTTCCATCAAATACTTTTTTTGAGTGCAGGGAATTTTGTATGAGGTACGAGAAATTTAAAATGAAATAATGAAATATCAAAGGGAAATGTAGCTTAAGAGAGAAAAAAACATTATTTTGTAATCGTGTAAGATCTTCTCCTTAAGCACTAACCTACAAAAAGAACTATTGTTTATATGTTCAGGTTCTTTTTCTTCTAGATTAAGGTAGAATCTTGATTATCCAAACTTTAAACAGCAAACATTGGTTTAAGAACAGTTGTTTTGCATGCTGTCAAGAGAGTTTTAATTTCCTTTTTAATCACATGTCCTGTCCAAGCTCCAAAAAGCAAACTTTCTGTCTTTGGAAGTCAAAAGAATCAGTTGGTGAGCAGGCTTGGGAAAACAAGTTTGCTCAGCCACAACACCTGACTTCTGAATTTGTTTTTGCTCTTTGTCATCACATGAAATATCTGTCGTGGTCTTGCCAACGTTTTCTTTCATCATGTTAGCTGAGAGAGAATTAATTTGCGTCTGTATGAATTAGGTTTCCCTTACAGCAATAGTTGAAATGTTCAAGGTTGAAGAAAAAGTGGGGGCATCAAGTGTGAGGATTTCCCTTTTAATTTGACGAGAGGGCTTTGTCTGTTTATTGGGTATTTGCTTTATTTTGAACTGCTCAGCTGTTGTTTAAATCATGCCAACAGTTTCTGTTGATTTTTTGACTTCTTCCATGTAAACAAGAAATAAATAAACTTGCTTATGTTACACCAGCAGCTTTGAAGGTGTTTTTAACAAACTTTAAAATTGAACAAAGGTCAATGATTTTATTATTGCCCTATTGCCAAATTTCACATAACAGAAAAACATAACAGTTCATAAACATGCTGTTTTCCAACTTCACAGATCCTTATTGTCAAGCAGTGAAATAAATAGAGACATGACCATGCTTAAATCCACTGCTATATACTATTAAAATTATCACAATAAAGTTGAATGATGTTGAATAATTAACATATTCTGAATGTTATATTTCAACTAGTAATATATTTCAACTAGTAATATATTGCATTTTTATTTATAATATTTGAGTATTCTTTATCTCAATCATTTATTACTGCCTGTTCATTAACTGGTCATTTAAAAGCCACAATTTGGCAAGTTTCTATTGAATTCCCCTTCATAACCTTTTCCTTCAAAATTTCAGTCAGTTTTCTCTTACTAATATAAAAAGATCTTTCTTGAAACAAAATAACGTGGCTTGTTAACTACCATTTTAAATTTGTCCCAGTTTTTTAGGGGAATATATAACTAATGAAGTAGGTGACCTTTTAATCTACTGGCATATTTTCGTAAGCAGACAATAGACTAGGGCACAACAAGTGTAGATTCTAGATCAAGGTGCTTAAAAAGGGGATGAATTGAAGGTGTTATTGAGTTTTGTCTTGGTTCCTTGAGCCTTGTTCTGTTTTTTAGCAAACATAGTTGCCCCCTCCAGGATCTCCCACTGTCATTTTTCAATGCAGTAATCCATGACAAATGTTGTTCAAATGTGCTCAGACATGATTTGGGAATCTGCTTAGAACTACAGCTGAGGAGTAAATAACAAAAGTTCATTGTAATGACTCCTAATAGTTATTTATTAATTCTGTGAGACATTATTTTTGTTAAACACATGTAATCAAGAGGTAGTACTATATAGTACTCAACAACAGCTTGTCAAAATCCATTTCTTGAACTTTTTTCCGTTAATAATAAAGATTTAATGTGGCTGATATAAACATGTTTACGAAAATAAACTATAAGAAGTCTTGACATCCATTGTACTTGTTAAAAACACTTAACCCAGTTTTATTCCTTCAAGCTAACTGCCAAGGAGAACTAGCCTGGACATCAAATGTTTCAGATTTGCAGCCCAAGATATTTCCCTGCCATGCGATCCAAGGTATAATATAATACAGTTAAATTAAACTATTAAAAGTATTAAATCATAAACTTATAACTTATACAGGCTGCTTCATAAATATTAAAATTATGTAAAGATGTTGTTGCAGATTTTTGGTTAATCTGAGTAATTTCCCTGGGGAAGGGACTCAACCTTTTAAATCCAAATACAAAATGTAGTGTAGTTTGATTACGGCTGGGCTTCTTAAGCTACCTTTTAATGAGATACATGACCTAAGTAGTAGTTAGAGAAAAGACAATACTAGATGATAAAAACTTACAATATGGTAGTCTTTTCATTGTCCATTGCCTTATTTTGTTTTTTTGTTTTGAAAAATGTATGATTATAACTTTAAGAAATCTCTTGTTCTGGTTTTTACTGCAAACCCTATCATTGGAATCTTGTAAAGCTGAAATCGCAAAGAGAGCAGTTTTCATGTTCATGAAAGAGATGTCGGCAAGTATTGAATGCTACCGTTGTGCGTTCACAGGGTGCAAATAATTCACTCTTTCCTTGAACATTGCACAATGATGGGCAAGTGATTTTGCTCTATTGCTTGTTATGATCCTGTCATACAAGAGACAACACAGTTATCTCAAAAATATTATGATTTAAGTCTTCACACCTTGTTGTGATCTTAACCTTAAGACAAGAGACAACACTATGTTAAAAATATGATTTAACTCTTTACTCCTTGTTTTGATCTTAACCTTAATACAAGAGTCAACAGTATGTTAAAAATATTATGATTTAACTCTTTACCCCTTGCTGTGATCTTAACCTGAATAGAAGAGATAACATAATGATCTCAAAATGATTAACTCTTTATTCCTTGCTATGATGAAGGACCTTTGGCCCATTGGTTATAGTGTGTGCTGATCTCTGGATTTAACAGTCCAGGTTCAATCATCATGATGTGTTCTCATCAGGCACGACACTTTACTGTCACAGTACCTCTCTCCACCCAGGTGTATAAGTAGTTACCAGAAAATTGTAGGGACAACCTGACAGAATGCTGGGAACTTGCCATGAACTAGCATCCCATCCAGGGAGAGGGGATGGGGGCAAGACTTCTAGCTGCTTCATGTTTCTAAAATCAGAGATAGAGGCCTAGAGCTACATAGATACATGCTAAACAAATCTTCTAATCTTCATACAAGAGACCACACAGTTATTTCTGTGCTTTTAACTTTTTAATTCAAGAGACAATCACTATCAATGGTGAACAAAACCTTGAATTTGAGAAATCATCTTTTGGGCTTATTTGACAAATATCACTCTTCATTACCAAAGAAAAATTTGTAAACAAAGAAAATTGAGCACATTGTGAAAATTCTTTAAGTGTTTAAACCCACTGTGAATCTGTTGCTAAGTTAGTTGACATGTAGTTTCACCTAAAATTTGGTCAATTTGAGACTGTTAGTGTACCAGACTTAAATAAAAATAATGAACTTTGAGGAAAATCTTGAAAAATCTGGCAAGAACTTTGGAGATCTGTGAAGATCTGTGAAGTTCAGCATAAGACTTATCCCCTGTAATTGCCAAAACATGTGGGTAATTGTCAGAATGTTTGCCCCAATAACTCACACTGTTACCAATTTGGTACATCTGGTTTTGATTTCCCCGGTCCAAGCTTTCTATGTGTGTACTTTGATAAAATTATACTGACATTCCAGAAACCATTTGTCACAAAAGGTAGAAGAAGACATTTTTTGATGTTCACATTTAGGTCTTGTACATAGTCAAAAATAGCAACAAAAGCTTCTTGGTATTGTACGTCTTGCTTTGAGAACAACTGAATAGTTGTTAAAAAACAGTGGATGTATTCTCTCGTAACCACCTGTACTTAACCCCTGAACGTAGATAACTTATACAGTTTTGTGACCTCAACTTTCACAGTTTTGTGACTTCTCCCTGTGTAGTATACAAGTGTATCAGCATATCTTCCGAAAAACACAACAGAAAACAGATGATCACATCCTTGTAAGCTATAGAACTAAGCTGAAAAATTGAAATTAAAACTGTTGCAAACATTCCTTTTTCTATTCTCTGCCCTTCCACGTCTTCTCATAGACACAAAAATGTTCTTGGAGAAGAAATATTACTCTGAGAAATGTGTTGTTTCTGCTCCTACCTGTTGTAAACTTAAGTTTTGCAGAGACTGCATTTTTTGTACTTTCAGTTTTTTCCAACCAATATGCCTGAAATCTATGTCACATTTTTAGAGGTGTATACTCTGGTAGATATCCTAAACACCTCATTAAATATTCTTGATGTTTGCACTTGCCGTTTGAAGAACAGACTGCCTGGGCTAGTATCGCTTCAATTCTGTCCCAAGGTCTGGGTACATTTTGCATTACATCGAAAGGTGCTACACCATTAAGTATATGCATGTCATAACAGTGGCTGAGTAAACAGCTGTCTCTATTTATGAAGTTATCTGACGCCCTGTCCACACATATCCGGATATTTTTTAATCCGCAACTTTTTCTTTCCAGATACCGTTTCCATCCACATGCATCCGGCAAATTTGGCGGTGAATCCGGATATTTTTGAACCCGCTCTCCAGAGTGGATAAAAATAAATCCGCAGTGAATCTGATAATGTGTGGACGGTGAATCCGGATATTTTCGGAGTGAATACGGATATCATCAGATGCGTGTGGACAGGCGAATTCGATTTGAATGCACTATGTGTGGACAGGGAAATTTTTGAATCCGGAAAGAAAAAGTTGCGAATTCAAAAATATCCAGATATGTGTGGATGGGGCGTGAGATTCCAGCTACAAAATTCTGTATTGATCTTGAAACTCTGCAAAGACCGTTGTATTAGACTGAAACCCTGATCAGTAACTGATGTAACTTACACCCAACTCTTCTTAACCATGCAAAAACAATAGGGCAATCCTAGCTAATGTCATTGTTTTATATTTTGTCTCTTAAGCATATGACTTTGTGTGGAGAATGCGTCATGCTAAATACAAATCAACTCTAAGCAGATAACCTTAGTGCATGGTGAAAGTTTTAGTTGTTTGGAGGTAGTATTAAAGGAGATATTGGCTTTCAAAAACTACAAAACATTTTAGGTGGCAAAAAGTGCTAATGAGCCCATTCATTCTTTGTTAAATTTTGAATAACTTTGAAACCTGCATTGGACAAAACATTTTCAATATATCAGGCTCGAATTCCTTGGGACAGTCAATCAATACTATGACCTTTCAATGTATTTAGAACTGATATTTTTGTCCCTTGATCAGAAACTGAATTGCTTATGCTAATGAGGCAAGTATTGTAAACAAGGATTGGACTGTTGTAGAAACACCACACAAATATTTGTTGTTTGAACTATGTGTTGTGCATCATCAGTGGGGAATCTTAGTTGAATAGGTGTCTGAAGGGAAAAGTCCATTGACTTTGGTTAGATTTTTACTCACCTGGCAGTTCTGGCAGAATCTGATGTTCTTTCGCATTGTTCTTGTTCCTCAGGGGATGGCAACGGATCAGGTACAGGCGGAGTCGAGTGGTGTCCTGGAGACAATACCTGTAAGTTATCACATGGACAGGTAACAACATCAGCAAATGAAGCGTCTGCGCAGTCAGACAGTATGCGTCATGAAAAAATTTTTAAAATGTAATATACTGCATATTTTTCAGTAGCATGAAATAACGGGCAAACAGAACCAGATGGCTTTGCTGTTTTTGCCACAGGTTTTCGAGACTGGCTATCAAAGTATTTTGATAAACAGATGCTCTTGAGCAGCCGAGTTTGAGTAACATAAAGTTCTACAGCAAAGGAAAAAAGCAGTATAATTTTATCTGCAATGCTGTAATGTTTGCTGTAACGAATGTATTGTTTTAGTGCTTTCGGTAAAATCTTTTGTTTTAATGTTGGTCAATTTATTCCTCAGGCAAAAAGGGCTAGGCAAGAGAACAGCGACAATGAAAAAGAAAGGTGATTCTTTCTTTGTTTTAGTGATAGCACTAGTCAGAGTAATGTACTTGCTGGAGGTACAATGGTCCTATGGCTAGTGTTGTACACTCCAGATGGAGTGATACAGATTTGAGCTCTGGCTGGTATCATGGTACATTGTTTTCTTCAGATATTTCAAGACACTTACACAAACTTTCACTACCCACAAATGACAGTGGCCATGGCCCACAAAAGATGTTAAAAATACTTGTTTATTTATGGGTGCTATGCCCCTCCCTGCAAGGCACCAGTCTCACTTCCCTTTATATCTATTTAATTAGGTACACGACCCCTCAAGCATGTAGTGCTTAGATGATAATCGTGTTTTAAATAAAGGGTTTTACTTACTTAATTTACTTACTTTAGCAGTGACGAGTCCAGTCAAGGTGGATCTCCTGTTCATCACCCCGTCAATGGTGCCACACGAGATGGTAAGACAGTGATCACAGGTCAGGACGCAGAAAAAAATGATCCGTCATGGGACGTGGGCACAGTAGGTGAATCTGCTATTGCTGTCACTAGTGCTGATCTTGGTGTTGGAGGACCTAATGTTGTCGCACCAGTATCCACGGCAACACTAAGCTATCCTTCGTCTGATGGTTCTACCACCATGACAAACTTGGATGGTTGCAGCTTTGGGAATCAGGCGGCAATCGCATCTGGGGTAACGGACAGCTCTGGACAGTACCAACAGCTGTCGGGACAATACACTGCGAATACTGCTGGCTATTATGGCCAGCGGCCATATCCTCATATTGTTCCTGCTCCACAACCTGGGATGCAGCAATATAAGACAACGGGAGGTGTTATACAAGGAACAGGAATAACACAGGTCGCAGGGTACGTATATCCCCAGGCAGCGTCCCAAGGTGGATACCCCATGGTACAGACTGTAAGGTACCCAGCGGTGAACGCATCAGGTAAGACTGCAGCTGATTCTCGGAATGTTTCTCAAGGAAAAGCCCATGGAGGTAATATCCCTGATATATCAACTCTTCGACAACCAGCAGGGTCGTATGGTAATCCTTACGGAACTGTCACGTATCCTGCCATTATTCAGTCTGGCCAGACAGTGTATAGTAATCCATATCAAGCACCCTATGGGACAGCTTACGTAGCATCAACAGGAACGCCGACATCTAGCACCACAGCTTATACTGTTCAACAGTCTGATCAAGGTTCTTTTCAATATGGATATACTACAAGTAATCCACAGACTTACCCATATAACTACCTCAACACTCCACCGCCAGCATATTCACCTTCACAGTACATTGGGCAGATGAACAATACACCGCCCCCTAATGCTGTAGCTGGGCCAACCAGCAGTTATCAACTCACTCAGCTTGTTACCGGGCAGGCAAATCAAGGTGTGACAACCAATGGAGAAAGAACGCACACTGCGAGTACAGGTATGTTGGCTGCTGATAGAATTAGCAATGAAATTCAATTCCAGAGGCTTGTGGCTCACCATTACTGATATTGGACACCGATTTCTGTAGAATGATGTGACCAGAAAGGTAGTTACCCCCACCCCTTCCTTAGATGGGGTACAAGTCTATCACAAGTTCCATTTGTTCCCAGTATTTTGCGTGTTTGCTAAACACTGTGCTTGTACCTGTTGATCCTCTGGGGTAGTGAGAGACAGGGATAAAGTGTAAAGAACTCTTTGCAAGAACAAAGAACCTCTCCATTTCTTTATGAAGATTTCAGTGCATGTCTAGCTATTGGCAGCTCATTGTAGGGCACCTATTGGAGAAGGGATGCTAAATAGGGACAGGGCACTTATTTCTTTTAGATCATCTACATCTGAATGTGATACAATAATTAAATGAAGTACAAATAACAGATACTTGGACTCAAGGACGGCAACAAAAGGGGCCCTGATGGTCATACTGTTCATTATTGCATTCAGATGAGAAAGCAGACCTCATATTGAATTCATTTGTCCTATGTCAATGGAAGGGGGCACTTAGTGGAACAGGGGTGCTTAGTATAAAATGGCACTCAAAGGGGAGTGTTCATTAGAAAGGGGGTGCTTATTGGAAGGCTTGATGAAATCACAATTGTAAGGATTATTTTTTCAAGAAGTATATACTTCCCAGCAAATGTGTGATAGAAGACTTGATTAATATTCTCAAAGACCCATTCTTTAATGAAAATCTGTTTTCTTCTTACCAGTTTTCATGAATTTACTCAAGGTCTCCTTTGGAGAATCTACTCTCTCATGAGATGATGAGCAAATTCTATTTTCTGTCTACTGAAATCTTACGTGAAAGAACAGCTTTCTGTTGTTTTTTGGCATAACTTTCCCACAAACTGCTGGCTTTTACGTAAACAAAAATGTGTGGCTGAAACAACAGCAAAGAAACAAGTGCTTGCAATCTCTTTGAATTTAAATCTATTTGGTTTGTAAATTTTTTGTTTTCTCTATCAACAGTAAGTGCCCTTAGAAAACACTCAACTTTTTAAATTAAAAGATCAAGCACTTTCTGAAAGTTATTTTAAAAGATATTAAAGATAAAGTCAGTTGAATCCTCAAGCGAACAGATTGCTTTTTGTAAGCGGCAGAAATTTGGGTTTTTAAGTAGGAATTTTATTTTGTCATGCTTTGGGTTTGTCTTAACTTGTTCTAACATTGAAATATTTCTGTATCAACCAAATATTATTGCCATTTGTTTTCTAAGCAGCATCTTCTGTAGTACTGTTATGGGTTCCTTTATAGGTGAGGAAATTATCCATACTGTATCTATCATGCTTTTGATTGCCTTACTGCCAGAAAGAAAAGCAGCATCACTTCAATACTCATAAAGATTTTCAACAAGTCAGAAGTCCTTATTGATAATTTTTGAATGTTCTGGTACCAGATCTATGGATTTGTTAGTTTGTTGCAATTAAAGACATTCTCTGCCCTGAACAGGGATTAAAAAAAAGAGTTTGTTGTCAGTAGTAAATAACAGGAAGAGATTCTTCTAAAATTGGGTTTTTTGTAAAATTCTACTGTCCTTAATAAAACCTTTTTTGGAGTGAGTTAAACAAACCCTATGTACTAATCTAAGAACTGGATCAAGAAGTATGGAGAATTTTATCATTACGAACTCATAGTAATTCACAATTTGTTGCAAAAGGGAATCAGTTTTGTCGTAATTTAAATAAAGGGATTTCTTTTTCTTTTTTCATGACATGTGTTCCCTTGATGTAGAGCATTGTTTAAATGGAAGTCCATTTAATGGTACAAATGTTTACTTTAAATTCTAATGAATTAACAAGTCTCCTGTGGAGGCCAAGAAACCATTAGTGGCACATATGTTGTTTTCAGTGTGAGTGAGTGTTGTTGTGTACATCTGCGTGCTCAGACAAATTTGATGTCAGTTTGAATTGTTGCAGTATTGCTGTGAGGGTACAATCACTATAGTTGCTATCTGTACAAATGTTTTGATGGCTGGCTTCAAAATGGAAAAGTCTTTTTATTTTTGTGGATGAATATTAATTAAACAAGGACAGGAAGAAGTCCATTAACATGAACAAACAGCTGTTTGCTACATTAAGTGAATCTGATGGAGTTGATTAAAATTACAATGGTATAACAACTTAACTGGAACCACACATGTACATAGACATGTCTGCCTCTCAGTTTTACTCCTTGTTTTTGTTATAGCTAAGCAGGAAGTTTGTGGAGCAAGGGAAATGAATTTCATCTTTGTTTGGCTTGTGTTGAGAGATGATCACTTAAAAACAGCCAATACTAATTGGCCAAAGCCTTCTGTATTTTATTAGGTTTACTAAAAGCTTTAGCAGACTTTGAGGAGTCCATGTATACACATACTTGAGAAAACAAATAATGCAAAGCAGCTCTTTTCAGTTTTATGTCAAAAGAGGCGTTTTATGTAAATCAGTAGTTATTTTTTGAAAATATTGGTTTTTTTTTTCAGGAAAAGGGAAGAGACAGAATTGAATGAAAACAGTTTTCATTTTGCTAGTGAATAGATGTTTTAATTTCTTTTTCTTTTTTTTCTGTTTAATCAGAATGCGAGTGTATTCATCTTTATTCTTAAATAATAAAAAAACAAACATGGAAGTCACTTTTTGCTATGAATGCAAATGGCCTTTAAGAACAGGAATTGCTTTTTACTGTAGAAACGTTTGCATGTATATTTTGCCATTTTTCTGTTTGAAGTGCTATCTGTCTTAATCAAGCTGCATGTTATGGAATATATTACACTGTTATTGCATGCCCCAAGTTGAGTTACCAAGATGATAATATTTTTCTGTCTAAAATGAGGTGCTCTGGTTTCTAGTCACAAACTGTTGTTAGAACTTCCAACATTATTCCTCTATGGGTTAAGGCATGTCATTGTCATGCCACTATGATGCTAAAATTAGTAAAAGATGAACAAATCTCCTGCTGTGGTATGTTTTGTGTCACCTCAATGAATACAGCAGCTTCATTTCAACCCGGTTGTGGGTTCGAATCCCACTGAGATCTTGCAAAAACAAAACAATCACTAGCGTTTGACTAGCCTAGTAGAGTGTTGTGGGTAAGATCAGAGGCTTGAACATTCTCCTTCAACAGGAGGGGTTCATTATTCTGACTAATCTCAGAGTTTAATTTTGCTTTCTTTTAGAGCAGTAGTAATTACTGTAAGATTTCCAATCTTAGACATCCATACATGCATATTGTGTGGTATGATTGCCGACATAGCCTGTGTTACAGCTATTCTCCTTGAAAGAAACAAGAAGATCTTTAAGATCTTACAACCACGCTTTTAAAAGTTAACTGTTTTGGTAGCATGAGTGACCTGAAGAAAAAAAAACGAAAAAAAAATATTGGTTTTGAACCTATTTCCAGCAAATTTGGCACACTGGAAGCTGAGAAAATTACTCTATTTCCGGTCATCATTTTTCAGCTCTTTTTGTCATATCCCCCCCTCGGGAGGGTTTTGTAAAGTTAGCGAATCAGTTGCAAACCACCGTAATAGGCCCTTTGCAGCTAAGCCGTCACGTGACCTACTTTTCATAAAATTATGGGCTATAACTTAACGAATGCCAGAAATGGAAAAAGCATGTCGAAAATATCAAAATGGCCAAGT